TTGCGCTGACTAACAAAAAACGTTTCGCCCTTCACGATTTTCACGATAACTATGACGATTTTTTCTGCGAGTCATCTCGAATATAATATGAAATAGGAAGCAGCTGGTACGGAGATAAAAAGTGAAATCAATTGTAATTCACTCTTTGAAAACATGTTGAGAGCAATCCATGGAAAATAGAAAGGGCTTGAGTGAAGATCGATGCTGCACGAAGACACGCCTCGTGGAGCGAATGAACGAACGAACGGCGAACGAAATTTTTTTTGTTGCGAGTAGCAATACGCGCGGCCATTACCGGAGAAACAGTGTACACTTTCTCGAAGCGCTTCGATACAATTTACCGGCAAACAATGGCCGTAGTAGTAACGTAACGGCTCTCAATAATGACGGTATCAATTCAAACATGATTCACAGCACCGGGAATATAATGGAAACAAGTAACGATGCATTGCCTCCTGTGTGCGCGACACAATCGGCATCCTAATTTTTTTCTCTTCTTTTTTCGTATTATCTTACTTTTTCTTATGTGCCGCGTATCTTGATCGGAGTTGAACCTGCGCTGTTGTAGCGAGAAACGCGATATCATCTATGGAATTTTACCGACTGAATAATAAGATAGTAAGAAAATCCTATTTGATTACGGTTCATGTTGAAAATAGCCGCCGGCTGGCACGTTTATCCTTTCTAATGACTCCACCATTTAGCTGTAGGGTGGAGACATCTAAAATATACATTCTGTTTGTTGGTTTTTAAACGATTCTCTTCTAGATTCCCGTTATGCGTAAACGCTTTTCAGGAGGTTTTTTTTCGAGTGGATCGCTGTTTTTGTGGAGACAACGGAGTGATCGAAGGTAGTTAACAACGGAAAATAATAAAACAGTATACTAATTAAATTTCTTCGGGACGGCGAACTCAAATGACTCAATCGAATTCGCCGCTCTGTACCGTAAGTCAATTATTTTTCCAGTAATTGGACCGCCCCACTTGTAGATAGTTTTTATTACGTTTATATCTATTGCGTGATGATCGGCTTCCGTCGAATCGCCGTTCGCACATTGCGCTAGCAGTGAATTAGACGCAAAGTGAGAAAGGCGCGCATCGATCAAGAAATACGGCAGCCGTAATTAATCCTGATCGATCGCGTCGTATGTTCAACTTCGGCAATCAAATTAATCTCGGTTACGTGTGCAGTACCTACTGGACCTACTGCCGCGGAAGAATCTCCGAATCGATCGAAACGTAGCTCTTGCTTTTCCTTATTGCATTTGTATCAAATTCGCACTAATGATATATCGCAGACGAACGATCGTAAAAGGGACGTAACTTCAAATTTACATACAAGACTCGAAACGTTTTTGCTCTTCAGGGATTCGTCAAACATTATTATGCCTCGCTTGTGAGGAAGAATTTTGTGATTACATCTGCTCATGGAGGATGCATACCTCGCGGTATCAGTTATGCTTCTCGATAGCATTATGACGTGTAACAAAGTCGCGAGAAATTTGACCATTCGTTAGTTAACCCGTGAAAAGATCAAAACACCAAACACAACCTTCATTCTCGCCAGCAAGTCAGGTCGCGATTACACGAAAACCTGCTAAATCTCTTACGAAACGCGCCACCCTTATTACGTCCTGTCTCTTGCAAGCAAAGTGCACGCCTCTTACATTGAACTGGCTCGATTTTTTGTCAAGTTGTTTTGATACTGTCCCGCAATTCATTTATTAACCCGTCGCGAATCTATAAAATTCCTACGGATTCGCGATCCCCCTTTACCAGGAAACTGTGCCAAATCGTCAAAGGAAATTGTACTTAACCGAATAACTGATTTACATTAACGATCCTAAGCAACCGAAATTTTAAATATTCATTTTTTCGAATATTCTATTGCTCATTTTTGCGTTACTCATGGAAGTAGCAAATTAGTTTATCGAAAGACAACGTACAAAAAATGTCAACAGCCCACTTATATATATTACAAAAACGAGTACGGACGAACGATTAAAAATTAATTTATATCCTTAACAACAAACAAATAATTTTTATACGAAACGTTGTTCCAATGTTTTAAAAATATTTGTGGTATGTGAAAAGACCAATGGAATATTAAACTTATTTCAACATGAAGGACCGTAAAAAGCCAAAGCACAAAAATTATAGTACAATCATTTATTAATATTTTTTTTTACATAATTCAAATCAAATTTACATTGCATCTAAAGTTTCAATTACCATAATGATTTATCAGTCAACCAAACGTTTCGGTCTACTTAGACCCTCTTCAATTGGAACAAAGCTGAGACGTGAGCTTTACGTTGAAATAAATTTTATATTAGCAGAGTTTTTTCAATGGTAAATTATTTATACAACTAAATTGTATTCAAAATAGTGTTAATTCAAATATTATGCTTAGTTCTATAATAAAATTTTTATCGAAACAAAAGAAAATAGTCTGCACCGCTTAGGTGATATTTCATGATTTTGCAAGGCGTGTTTCCACTCATCACGCGCAATCTAATACGCTAATTCGACAATTTTGAATAGCTCTCATTTGAATAGCTCTCAAAAATTACCATTTGAACGGAATTTCAATAAACACAAAATAGCTTGTTACCAAGAATGTAGCACTTTGCAAATGGTTATTCTGAGATATTTCATATACACAGAGAAAAAGGTTTTTTTTAGATATTTTTTAAATATTTCTATGTATTTGACTAAAATATGTTTCATAGAAATAACATATACGAAATATTATTTATTTGAATAAAAATGTTATTGTCTCATTTAAGAAAACTTTGTTATTTAACAAAAAGAACGCTATTGAAATAATATCTTTTAAACAAATAAAATATTATTTGGTTATAATAAATATGTAAAATGTAACAAATAATATCTTCATAAGAAAATTATCTTTCGTTTCAGACAAATTTTTTATTTAAGATAAAGATTCATATTCGTTGAAAAGTCTAATAATCATATTTATTAATTGAAACATTATTTTTTTTAGAACATGCCAATGATGAAATTTGTTTAGATGTAATAAAATTTATTAAATTTGAAGACATATTTTCCTCAGTGTACGAGCATTTTTTGAGAAATATTCAAAATTTATATTAATCAATTAATAAATTAATTTAAAATTAAACAATTCATTAAAAATCTTTTTCTCTTAACCATTTAATGTCTTCTACAATATTGTTTCAGCAGTATCGTAGCAATATAAACAATCAATGTAAATATTTAACATTGATTTAACGTTAGAAAAATATTTTGACTTTAACATTCAAGATTGCAACGTCACAGAAATACTGTTTGTTTCTACTTTCTATGCTATATATAGAGTGTAGATTGTTAATTATTTTTATAATATTTCAGCAACGTTCTGGTACATTTCGGCGAAATATGCTAATTGCATATCTCGGTAATGTTTCTACAATATTAGATTATAATTTGCAGTGTTGCAGTCCTGCAATGTAAATTCCCGTATGGATCTATTCTTGGACTACTAGAAAACTCAATTAAATACAATAGAATTTAATATAAAAAAGAACTATGATATTCTCTCCGTTTAATCGGAAAAATACGTAAAGCTATGACTATCGTTGTCAGTTACATTGTCTTCGAACGCACATTTCGACATTATTTTTTATTATAATTGATACTGCCAACTAACCAACCAAACGAACCAGACTGTTTAATTACTTTATCTGAAAAAACTAGAGCAAATCGATTTCTAACGTACTCGTTATTAGTTCGTGCGAGTTCGTTTACTTTTGTCCGAAAGGAAGATCCATCACCGTCCGTATCACGAAGCGATGATAGCAAGGTATATATGTCAAAGTGCAGTAACTACTTTTTTATTCATGCTTATTCGTTTTACCGTATCCACGGCTATTCTTATTAACGAGTACAACTTACTCTTCAATATTCTACTTGTTTCCATCTATTTTTCAGTTGACGCAAAATGTATTATGAAACATGTTTAAGCGCAAAATCAAATATTTTGTTCGCAGTTATTTTTTAATTACTTCCAATATTTGGATGAATGTAATTATTTTTCCTCAAAATGAAGTTTCTGGTGTCATTAAAAGGTCAATTAGTATTCTACTAAAATAACTGTAAACAATCGCAAAATAGTCCAAAATTCGCTTGAAAAAAACTAAAACCGATACATCCAAATTAAATATTTGCTTTTAAAATACCTGCTTAGTATATGAATATATCAAGAATAATATCAAGAATTAAAAATAAATTTATTTAATAAGATATTTAAAAATTTATTATGCTTTATGCAACACCGTCATTATTATATTTTATCACTAATAGCTAATGTGTTAATTAGTGTTATGAATGCTAGTATGTCAATTAGAATTATGAACGATTGTTGGCTAATTCGTTTAATTCCATAACTTGCGGAATATGAAATGATGCATTAAAATCTATTTTTAACTTCTTGCATTCACTCGATTGAATGTAGAACACTAAATCTATTTTGAATGGAATTTGTCTCGCTCAGAAAACGCTAAACTAAAAGTGAACTCTTTTTTACAACGATCTGACTCTGTGTGCCCATGTGTATGTATATGCGTATGTGTGTATGTACACTTGCGCACAGAAGTACCTTTAATATTTTACATATATATATTAATTAGTGGATGAAAATAGAAGCAAATGGGAAGAAGAAAATAACGGTATCGAAAGCATATCATATCAATGATCAATTACAAAAATATTATAAAAACAAAAAATTATGATATATCAATTCTAATATATTTAGTAATATATTTTCAAAAAATGCTGTATTTGGCTTCCGGAATAGAGTAATGTTTTCTTTGGGTTTATTTCCAGTGTTCAAATTTTTTCATTTAATAAAATATTACAAAAAAACTTGAAAAATTTGAAAAACTCGTTATTCAATTAGTTATTCCCTCTTATTATAACCTGGTAAACATTTATCAAGAATCCCTTCAGCATTTCTTTCTACGTTGCAAATAACTTACCTCCGGCGACTCGTCCGGCACTTTACCCATCCAGCTAAGCGACAAGATGTTGCAGTCACACTTGGCGTTGTTGTTTTTCTCAAAATGTAGATGCATGTTTGTGATGCGATTAGATTCTCGGTAGATCTATCAATCCGTCAAATCAGCATCGTTTTCCGCAATCTTCACTCCACTCGCGGCCGGACTCCACTTTACTTTTCTCGCAAACATTTTCGTGCCGTGCACGTTCCGTTTCATCAGCAGATCCGTGATCGATAATCGAATCATTCACACATGAGTATGAACGCACGCGACTAGCGTGCCACGATATAAAGATCTTTGCACGTAATAAATTTTTAGTCGTAATTGTAAGTCTGTATGAAAATTGACCAATCGCAATCAATTATTCTTTGACCACAAGGAGAATAATAAACCGTGATTAACAATTTTTTTTACGAATTTACGGTTATGACTAAAAATTTCTTACGTGCAAAGGCTTTAATCCTCGCGCTTTGAAATCAACGCGATCCTCCTTGGAGGAGCCTTATGCGGTGCGAAGCGTTCTCGTCGCGCAATTTCTCTTCCGTCCAGGTATACGGCGATACCAGATAGCACGTCCCTGTTGTGATTGTGAAAGAGTCGCGATTTTGAGTCACGCACCATCAACGAGCACCGAGCCACGCGTTTCTCTCGAAATCGCTGTTCACCACTCTTATCATTCATTTCTTATCATGACCGCCATTTTGCTACCCTAGACGCTACTCCACCTTTCAGGCGATCCCCGTGCCGCGTCACACTACACCGCGTCACGCCGCGCCGCGCCGCGCCGGGTCGTCGGGCTGGGGTGCATGCTTACGTGCGGGTGGATGTGAGCTTCGCATCCGCGGAACCGACGCAAGCTTCCAACGCGAACGTGCGTCCGACTGAAAGCTCGGCCACTCGTGCGGGAGCGCGCGCGAGCCTCTGCCGGCGCTCTCGTTTCCGTCGGTCGCATTCGCGCGTATTGATTGGGAGTCAGCAGTGTTCCGTGTGCTCCGCGACCGCTTCACGCTTCCCGGCTACACTAAATTCGCTGCGAACTTTTTCGAGCTGCACTGCGCCGCAACGTGGAACCTGAGCTACCCTGTGTGTCGTATAAGAATGGCACCTCTTTTCTTATGATATGCATTTATCTCGATATTTTTTAATAATTATTACAAATTAGTTTTTCTGCTCTACTTAGAATCAGCTTTTGCTCTTATATAGTAGCTCCTTTTAAATTGAATAGAATTTTGTGTACTATATAGAATATTTTATAAACTGTCTCTTAATATTACAATACGGATAATTTTGAAGTTGATATTTAGACGCATAGAAGTATTCTTGAAACCTTATTATATGGTGTATTTTCATGTGATTATTTTTCATACTGATACCGTAATATGATACCGTGATTTCATATTGATACCGATGCAAAATTTAAATATTTTATTAATTGATACAACAGTCTTTTACTCTCCATACGTCCGATTTGTAAGATAATATATATAAAGTATATATCAGTGGATGACATTCTGATTGTGACAATATGTGTTAGTCAATTTGTCTTTTTAGGATTAAAATATAATATTATTTTTAGGATTAAAATATATATTAATTTACGCAATTTACGTAATCAAAATGTAATAGATTTAAAATGTAATAAATGTAATCAATTTGTTTATATACACGGAAAAAAGATTAACTGTGCTAAGTTAAATTAGTTGTAATATATAAACATCTTAAACTGTAGCAGCGTAAGCAATTTTAATTGCTGCAATAACAAATTCTTTTGCTGCAATAGTAAACACTTTGACTGCTTCTACAAACGTATTATTATACATGACATTTACGATAGCGCGTTTGTTTTTGCAACCAAAGAATTTGCAACTTCAGCAAAAGAATTTGCAACTGCAATAATTAAAGTTGCTTATGTTGCGAAAATTTTAGATGTCCATATTTTATAATTAATTTAACTACTGCAGCTAATCTCTTTTCTTCATGTAGCTAATTTTCAAAAACATATTTTTTTATAAACTTTTGTCTATTTATTTAGACTAAAATGCAAATAAATTATCAATAAAATTCTGATTGTATTACCAAAGACTATTTTTTATTATGAATTTATTATCAAACTCCGATTGAGCTAATCAACAATTTAAAATTACTGTCAGTCTCTTTCAAATGTTACTGCTCTATCTTGCTAACATAAATATAAATTATTAATTATTAAACACTTTTAATTATTATTAAACAACAAGCTATAGTACTAGAAATTGACGTTGACATTTCTTATTATTATCCATCGCTTAATCAAGATTTAATGAAAAACATTCTAAACATAAATTTAAAGGGACACTGAAATGATCAATTACCGACATTACAGATCCTACTATTCTCCAAAATAACTTTACAATATTGAAAACCTTTCTACACGTATAAAGTATACATATTTACAAAATGCAGAATGAAAGACTAAGAAACAGAAGACTAAGAATGGAAAAAAATTCAAACGTGTGCTTAGTGCTGCATTTGTTAAATTCGTATAGCTGTCAAGTCATGAAAAGATTCAATATAAAAGTTATACAATTCATACGTAAGAAATGTCTGTATCCCATACTATGGATTAAAGAGTACTCTGGACCCATACTATGGACTTGAGAAATAACGGTATATCAACAAAACTAAGATTGGAAACTTAATAAGAAAATATAATGGTCGAATCGGGTTTATGTATCTGTACGCGCGTGATGTAGATGCAAGAAGTAGAATAGTAGTAGTGTATAATTCTCATTCTTTTTTCTCTTGTATTATTCACTCATTTCATCGCATTTTTCTATATACTTCTATATCCTCTCGCATTTTCATTTAACCCCTTATACGGTAAATCCATCCATACGGCAATATTTACTTGACCCAACACGGTAAGCTGGCCATATGGCAGGCAGGTTGAAATATATGTTTGGGATCACACAATATTGACTAGCAATGATATCTTGAGGTTTTTCAATTCGCTGATCACGAATCTGAACTCAAAATTCAGAAATTCAAAATAGCAGATTCAATATAATATAAAAAAATGAAAAAAATGACCAAATTTCGATGAAACTCAATACTCGAGAGTTCTTGAGGTTGCTGATAACAAATATGAAAACTAAAAATTTATAATCGGCGACCAAAAAACTTTTGAGTCAGAGCGTCATCGCAATCGAACTATTTTTATTTCTCTGCTTGAGGCACAAAAAGTAAAATTTTACTTGATGCGTAAGAGGTTAAACATGCTTAGGAAGAATCCCCTACGTTGAATAATAAAGCATTTCCTTGCATCTTTAATATTGACAATAATAAACAACTTTTCCGATAAAACATTTTCATGTCCAGATTTTAACGGCACACCTTGTACACATAAAGACATAAGAAAATTAGGAGACAAAAACAATATTAATACAACAAAAAAAGTCAATAACAAATATAAGAAATATTGAGTCTATGCATAATTTCGTAACGAAATTCCGATACATGGAGTCCGCAGTTGTTTTTCCGTTCGCAAATGTATCAAACATATGAAGTATCTCACATTAAGTGAAAGCTGAAATTGTCGACATTTTAAGAAAGTATTCATCGCGATCCGTAACATACAAGAAGTTTAAATATATTTTGATCATGGAAAGGAAAAACGCGTATTTTTAGTGCATTTTGCTTCTTATTTCATAAATGGCAAAAACGCGTCGCAAACTCACAAAAAGATATACGCCGTATATGGAGAGAATGCCGTAAGCGAAAGTATGTGTCGGAAATGACTTGCGAAATTTTGTTGCGGAGATATTGATCTACAAGGTACTCCTTGCTCTGATAAGCCAGTCACCAGTGATATCGATCATATTAAGGCCTTAATCGACTCCGATCGGCATTTGATGACTACAGAGATCGAATATAACCTCAACATTGGCCAATCAAGTGTTTCGAGATATTTACGGAAGCTTGGTATGGTAAACATTCTTTATGTTTTGGTGCTGCGTGAACTGAGCGAAAAGAATATAATAGACCGAAATTCAGCTTTCAATTCGCTGCTCAAACGCCATCAGAATAAAACATTATTAAAGCGGATGATCACTGGCAATGAAAGTGGATTGTTTACAATGTCATTCGAAAAAGATCACGGTTTAAACGCGAGGAGGCTGCTCAGACGGTCGCACAAGCTGGATTACACCCGAAGAAGGTCATACTCAGTATCTGGTGGAATTGGAAAGGAATTGTTTATTATAAGCTGTTGTCACCCAACAAAACAATTGATTCGATCTAGTACTGCTCACAACTGGCCAAATTAAAGTGAGAAACTGATCAGAAACGGCCCAAATTAGCAAATAGAAAATGCGTTTTGTTCCACCAGGACAACGCTTGACCACATGTTTCTTTGATGAGAAAGGCAAAAGTTAATGCGGATTGGGTGGGATGTTCTGATGCATCCACCATATAGTCAAGACCTTGCACCTTCAGACTATCACTTGTTTCGGGTGCTACAGAATATTTTGAATAACACAACTTTCTGTTCCCTGGATGTCCTTATACCACTTGGATGACTTCATGGCCCAAAAATCTCAGGACTTCTATGAAAGAGAGATAATAAAGTTCGTGGAGAGATGGCAGAAAGTCATTGAACAAAATGGAATACTACATAGGCTGAAAAGTCTCGTGATTTTTAATGAAAACAAGTGTTTTTTGGGCAAAGTTATATTTATTCCTCAACATAGTTGCCTTTGAGTGCGATACACTTGGTATAGCGATTTTCCAACATTTCGATGCCCTTTCTGTAGTACAAAATGTCAAAGCCTTCGAAATACGCCTCGGTTTCCGCGATGACTTCCTCATTCGATGTGAATCTCTTTCCCTAGAGCCACCGTTTGAGGTTTGGGAACAGATAATAGTCGCTGGGGGCCAAATCTGGAGAATACGGCGGGTGAGCAACCAATTCGTATCGTAATTGGTCCAATTTGGCCATCGCTTTCAAGGACGTGTGTGACGGTGCGTTATCGTGATGGTACAGAACTGTTTTCTTCGCCATATGGGGCCGTTTTTTCTTTATTTCGTGGTTCAGTTTGTCCAATAACGCTGCATAATACTCTCCTGTAACTGTTCTTCTCTTCTGCAGGTAATCGATGAAGATTATGCCATGCGCATCCCAAAAAACGGAGGCCAAAACTTTCCCGGCCGAGCGTTGGTCTTTTGGCCGCTTTGGCTGGCTTTCGTGGCTTTTCAGCCATTCTGCAGACTGCCTATTGGACTCAGGCGTACGGTAATGGATCCACGTTTCATCCATC